ACCCTGCAAACATCCACCAATCTCCACAACATGCACAAGACCGATGCACTGCAGAGCGCCTTGCTGGTGCTCGCTGCCCACAAGCAACGGAGTTGAGAAGCCAAATGGCTTGGAAAAGTAAGCGTTTCATGAAAAGTCAACGCTTTCATCAAAAGTGCACAGACCAGCAGTTTTAACACGGCTTCCTGATTTGTGATACGAAAGGGTGGGGGGGTACAAATTTGTCATACGAATGGAGAGCTAGGTTGTTCAATATAATTTGCAGGTGTGTGACGGCGTTAATTTGTGTTGTTTTTCTCTTTGGTTCTTCCTTTCACCTATTATAGAATAGAAACCCGAGGCTCCTCCCATTCCACTGAGCCATCTTCTCGTAGAATGACCTGAGCTCGTGCCGCACGTGCAGGGCCGGCAGGGGGGAATGCCATGTGCTCGATGCTGATGGATGTCGAGATGAGGTCGATGTCCATATCTTGAACCCATATCATTCGTATACTCACACCATCTCATACCATATACCTGGATCTTCGCTACATCTGAGGATCTTGGGGATCCTGAGGCCGTATGTCAGTGCACCTTTATACCTTTCCAACGTCACTCCGACGTCAGGACTGTCACCACGCATCCATCCTGGGATCCCCGGGCGTATTTGTATTCCAAGCTCCAGCAGGACTTGGTCGACGTCACTAACACGGGCCTGGCGATGAACGATCCGCGTCGAGTGCCCGACCCGTGTCGCGAGACGGCGAGACGGCTCGGTGGATGGGGGAGAAGTCAGGAGCGCCATCACAAGAGGGGCGGCTCTGGTGGAAGGCAGGTTCCTTCCGAATGCCTTAAGCAGGTTCCTTCCGAATGGAGCACACCATGAACGTGAGTCACGGCACACGTGGGACTTGCTTGGAAGATCTGATTGGAGTCACCCTTAGCATTCCGTAGTGGAGGGACGTTCATCCCAACATGTTAACAGATTCAGGACATAAATAGATCCAAGTTGGTTCAAGTTCGTTTTGATGATGGACAGCACATGACAGCACCATCCGATGGACAGCCATGCGCCAGGTTCCGCACCCTGAAGGAGAGCCGCAGGCGCCCACAGCCCCGGTCAAGCCGGCTTGCCGGCAAACATCTCACAGGGAGACCCACAAAGAAAGACCATTTGGTTGGGAGCTGTTTTTCGCCCTAAGAATCCGGGATGGAACTTTGAAGGGCTATCAACATAAAATCCCCATTGTCTCTGCAGCAGACCCGGCATACCACATAGCATGGTTCCAAGATGTTCCAAGACTCAAAAGAACACAGGGGGAGGAACACCCGCCGCCATTCGGGCGTAGCAGAAGTTCCAGACCAACTCTGGGGGCCGCCACTCTGGGGGCGACAGGCCACAGAATCCAGAACCACCGACCGGATGAGAGGTATGTCTTGCCAGGGCTGGATGAGCTAAGTTTTGGAGACTTACACATGTGACAACAACGCGTACGCGGCTCCCAAACAATCTGTGGAATGTTTTGGAGTTGTCACCCATTACCAGTAATTAAGAGTGGAGGATGATGGTTCAGTTGCAGTCCTTTCACCTGCTACAGGTTAATAGTGATGATGGTTTGGTATTGGTTCGGTTAATAGTTATAAGTAACCGATTGCAACAAGTTGGCTGGGACACCCCCCAGGCAATTCAAACACATCAACGTGCCCGCAAAGGCTTGGCGTGTGTCCCCACGGCCGATCGTCCCAAATCGACTGGGCAAAGGGAGGGAAGAGCGAACCTCTCAGAGAGTCTCATGTCTATCCCATCCAAAACTCACCGGAAACCTTTGGACATCTTCGAACGAATGATCACTTCGTGATTTCCCGTTGAACTCTTCTTCACCACACTCACTTCCGGTACCAGCTGGCCCCCGCAGCTGCTTCTTCCGCAACCAAGCCAGCTCCACAGTGTGATCTGCCAGAGTGGGAACTCGCCGGCCTGACAGTCGGTGGGACGTCTGCCCTCGCATAAGCCGCCTGGGGAGGAGGAGGTTCCCCTTTGATTCGGGGCATCCGTGCGCACCGGCATCACCGGACCGGACATGTGGGACAATTGGGATCAACAGCAAATCCGGTGACCCTGTGAAGCGACATACGAACAGCACGCTGAGTCGGACCCTGCAAGCGGAGCTGTATTGTTCAACGGTGAGGTGAAATCTCGCCCCCCCAACAAATCCATCAGCCCTGAATCCCTCGCGCACCAAAAAAATGGGTGCTTTCAACTCACTCGACACATATTAGTCAGTGCCAGCACCACCCAAAGGGTGGTTATTAGATGGAAAATACATCTTCAGGGGGGTCTATAAACCACCCTTTGGGTGGTGCTGGTGGATGTCAGTAGGCTGAATTATGGCCAGGTTCAAGGTCAATATCTGAAAGCACCCAGGACCCATCCCTCCCACCATCACAGTATCTCCCATCGCTCACAGCCGGGACCTTCGTCTTCGATGTGTCAAACCGGTCAGTCGACTCGAAAGGACCAGGGGGAGCGCAGCGCACGAATCACCTCCGCGCTGCGACCCAAACGAAGCAGGGACAACGAATCGGAAGTGGAACGATGGGCCTGAAAACCATTGAAATCCTCAGACCGGTCGACGAATCTCGGTCGCCAGCTTCCATGATTGGAGGGAGGGAGGATACCTATACGTTTTGCTTGTCCAAACTCCGAGCGAGCGTTTTGGTGAAGAATTCTTCATGTGAGCCAACTTCGGGGGTGACCAAAAACACCCTCGACTCACAGTGGGTCTGTTTAGACACCTCCCCCTCATCATCCAGGGAGGCCCTGGAGGAGGAAACCAGCCATGAGCCGCACCGATCGTCGCCACCACATCCAACCACCGGATCACCCGAGTCGTCGATCACACCATCGAACCTGCAAGACTGCTGTGCTGCGGTGGGGGTCCCAGTCGCCAAGGCTCGAGCCTTCACCTGGAATCGGATCCGGTCGCTGGGTGGAACAAGGGACCGCGGTGTCTGATTTCTCAGGCCACGGAAGTTGGAGAGTGATTGTTGAAGGTGAAGCGAAACGTACTGCATGTGATTTGGCCATGTCCAATGCTTCATTCAGTTCAACATCAAAATGAAAGGCCTGAAAGGCTTCCACCGTCGGCGGTCAGCTGGGCTCGCATCTTCGGTTGGGGGGGATCCTTCACGCGAGTCGGCTTCTTCGAGTCGGCAAGAACTTGCGAGTTCGGATCTTTGTTGTTAAGTATGTCAAGGTCAATAGTGGATCATGTGTGTGTTAAAATAGGGAGACCTCCCAGTTCGACCCCCAGGAAGAAGGAAAATAGACAAGTCTGACAGTCTACCGTATACCTATTGGTTGGGGGGTCTTCCTATTTAAATAGGCATCGTTGTCTCCCAAAAGTCGCTCCGCGCTGCTCCGCATTCATCAAAGCGCAGCTCGTCCTCAGCTCCGCACCCACCACTCTCAGTTGATCACCAGGCCTCACATGGCCGTGGGCACCGCGTAAAAATTAGCCACGACTCGAAGCCCGGTCTCGACCGTAGGGCCGTCGTTCTGTATGATTCCGCCCCAACCATCTATGAATCAGGAATCTACATACCCGAGGGCTCCAACCACCTTCTCAGAAGGTATAGTTAGACCCCTCTGGCACCCACCCCAACCACCGAACCGGAACGGTGGCTGGAGCCCTAGGGATAGGACAGACATCATCAGACATGTTCTGTTCCCACCTCACGTTTACCACTTCATTCATGATCCCATTCTGGAAGTAGATCGTGGGACGGTCTTAACATGTCTTGATGTCTTGATCGCTTCATGTTCGCTCGTCTGGGTGCCCTGGCCGAGCAGAGCTGCAAGAGCACTGAAACGCGAGCTCCACCGGCATGGCGCTCGGAAGATCTCTGAATTTAAAACAATGCAGGGGAATGGAAACGGCCCGGAGCGGCTTTCCCGGGGCGAACGGTTCGGCCGCAACGAGAAAGATACTTCTTGGCTTGAAGACATGGTGGTTTGAGCGGGACTGGCTCGGTTCCGTTCCAGTGTTGATCTAAAATCTGGTTCTCAAAAGTCTCCCAATCAATGCCAGCCGTTTCAGAAAGCGTTTTTCTAACTCATTGCGCTGCAGGCTGGAGATCTCCGGAGATCCAAGATCGAACTGTTGAAGGGTGCCGTGGTCCAGGTTCCATTTGATCTTTGGAGTCATGGGGGATGCCATGCACACGGGCTTTTTCAAGCCGGCTCGCCACCCAAGGCTCCTCACAAGGCTCGCCACTGGCCCATCTGTCCGAGCCCAAAACGCCCCGGGTCCGGTGCGGTGCATCTTCCGTCGTTCAGATCCGTTCGGACGCGTCGATGGACGGGTTCGCCGGAACGCGTCGACTCCTTCAGTTCGTCGAAACGGCGAAGCCGTCGATGGTTCTCCACTCTCCCCAAAACGGTAGGAGTTGGATGATCCACTGACTGGGTAGACCTTGGGTATATAACGCTATAGCTGCTAACATCAAAGGTCTCCTTCCGTCCTTCGAAAGAAGAGCCAATCGAGTCGGACCCAGCACCATCCTGTTGACATCACAACTGGTCTGGTCGCTAGAGTCATGGATGTCCCATACCTATAGCGCCTGTCGGGGTGTCAATGGAAGCTCTTTCAGTGGTATAGTGGTACTGGTCACGGAAGCAGCGGCTTTGGTGGCATGTCGAAGAACGAATCGATTTCCCCTTTTGAAACACAACTTTCCCCTTTTGAAAGCACCGATAATTTATGTGTTTCATGAGATCTAAATATTTTTGGAAGCTTCGAGCATGCACTGGAGGTGCTTCATTCCCCGTGTCCCCTGCTTGTTTCTTGCCCATGAAGCCAACAGTTCGATGGAGACGTCAGTTCAAAAAGACGGGTGCCACACCTAACATGGTGTCTTGGAGGAACTCCACGCGCCACACCTAATCCTCCGACCCGCCTTCGATCCGCGAACCGAACGCTTCCATCGTCGAACCCGGCGTTCGACCCGATGCACTGCACCTCTGTCACATCCTCCTCGGCCTGGATGCCGCGGACTCCGCGGCGTCCGGGAAGACGTACTTATAGGAACGGGGTTTTTGGTTCGATTCTCGGTTCAACAGGGTCTACATAACCGTAACCATCCGTAACCTGTGCGAACAGCCTGAGGAAGTACTCAGTGGTTTTCTGCAGCACAGAGATGCGGTAAAAATGGTCAGATCTCATTCAGAGTCTTCACACCCTGAAACCGCACGGACAATCGTGGACACACGTCGCGTTTGTTCAAAGATGCCCGCGATCGTCAACAAATACGGACCCCACATGAACCCAGCCAACATCAGCCAACCGCGTTTCGAACAGGTCTTGAAGTGTTCTGGCCGAAGGGTCCTGAATTTGAGGGATCTCTCTCCTTTTCAGGCATGTTGAACCAGGCAAGTTGGAAAAAGGATCTCTGAAAAGCTTTCCCAATGCTCGTGGAAGAGCAAAACTATGTTCCGCCTGCTCCTTTCTAAACTCTTCTGCCTTGGTCCTTTCTCTTTCTTTCTTTGGCTACCTGGAGTCTCAAAGTACCTTGGAAAATGGGCACAACCAGGACATTCAAAGTGACCTTTTGAGATCCCAGGATGAGGTCACTTACGCCGCCTTAGGCCTGTTGGTCCATTTAGAGACTCCAAAGAGATCATTTGGACGGTCCTGGAAGTACCTGTTTTTATAGGGTCATGTATGCTCATGTCCCATGTTCTAAGGTACTGGGTCAGTCGGGTCCAGGTCCACAAATGCGGATGCCCTGTCTTGGCGGCTCCGTCCTGACATGCCCCACCTGCTTGAGCTGCTCCTTCACCAGCTCCTTGGCCCCCGACGCCTCGGACACACGTGGCAACCGGACCCGGCGGGGTGGAGAAACGCCTTCCGAGGGGCTCTTGGGGGAGCGCCGGGCGCCCACCCGGGGTAAGCAAGTATGGCTGGAGGGACTTAAGCAGCCGGCCGGGTTGCTGTCCAAATCTGACAACAAAATCGCCGGGAAGCAGCATGCCACACTCTGGTTTACACAACTCACCCCTGAGCCTTTTCCTGGCAAAATAGAGGTTATATGATGAGATATGACCTTTTCCATCCTTTTCCCATATGTTCATGTTTAGTGGGAACACATGGAAACACCAATGCCCAACTTTTCCTGGGCCAGTAATTCAGGGGTTGCGGTGTGTTTTTGCGCCTCGGCCCAGGCAGTGTGCAACTCCTCGTGCTCGTGCAGGGCGGCGGCAGATGCGACCTCAATGTGAGGTGGACCGATGCAACATCACAACGCCGAAAGAACACCCAACCAATGCAATGCTACACGTCAATCATTGGATAAGTGGATGATAAGTGGATCTCAGCATGTATTTTTCCGTCTCAGGTTGACGTCCTCCGGGATTTACCTCATAACCTTGTGAAACATGGATCAACGGTTTCAGCGCGGCATATCGTTTTTGACTAGGATGCAAGGAGAGTATGCCTTGCGGGTAAACAAACTCCATCCGGACACTTGCGAAGAAATGGACAAGTCTGGATCCATCACATTGGTTGTGACGTTCGACCCAACAATCCAGGTGAGTTGGCTTATGTATGCTTATGTATGCTTGTGTCAGTTTGGGCCTGCACTGGTCACGGCATGGAGCAGTAACGGAAGTCATCCACAAGCTCCAAGCTGGTGGTCTTGGTGCCACTTCATGCTCAACACAGTCCATTGGGGAAAAGACTGCTCCGTGCCTCGATCTTCTGTCAGAATGCCAGTCTTCGGGGGTCCGCGGTCCGCCTCGTTTTGACTCGGACAGATGTCATCGGTGGAGTCATCCAACTATCAGGGCCTTCCAGGTGACCGAACTTGAGATCCGAACTAGAGATTAGAACCAGGCCACTAGACACTCCAAAGAAGTCAACTACTGAAGGCGCCTGAAGGTTCCTACTGAAGGCTCCGGGAATCAAATGTGCCATGGTAAAAATGTGAATCCCGACGCCTAAAAAACTGCTGATGCGAGAGGAACAAACCCTTGGCTTGGCTGCTTTTGGGCCCCCCGGCTCTGGCATCCATCAGCCGCTTGCTGTGGCCCTGCAGAGATCAATCGATGCAGCTCGTGCGTTTGGATCCTCATGGATCCGCATGATCTGCTTTGACCGCACACCATCGGGTTGGCGGTGAGTGGTTTCATATGGTATTCGCTGCTGACCAACCAAGCATGTCATTTTGGGAGGAAGAATAGAATTAAATGCAACGGTGGAACACAACGAGTCGCTGTGATTGAAACCGGAAACCAGAAATAATATAGCTCTCTCTATCTCTTCCCACATCTGGTGGCTCTTCAGGGTGTTCAATTGTTAGGAGCAAACTCCCTGATATATGTGTTAATAGATGCTATATAATATTCATATACTGCTGAATGTAATAATTACTTAAGTTGGGATGCAGTCCCACCAATTGAGAGTGGCTATGAAATGGCCTTCTGCCAAAGATCTGTGCCATCTCTGCCCATATCCCATAGGGGGTGATCTTGGACCGAGTGCCCTTTGCCAGGCCGCAGCCCCAAGCTAGTTTGGACAATGATGTCGACGGGTCATGTTGCTACATTGCCATCTCCGTTTCATGCACGGTTTTTCCTCATTGAGCTGCTCAAGTTCAGCCAACTTGCGAGGACAAAAATCAAAATAACTCAGGGATGACACAGGGTGTCCTATGTATTTCAAGGCCCCAAATCGGTCACTTGTAACAACTGACGGAATATGAATGCCCAAATAGAGAATTCTCAGGAGGCACTTCTGCACACTTCACCTTTAAGGGCTCTGCAGGCCAAAGCTTCAGCCAAGGCCTGGGGCCTGTTTACCGGAGGTCTCATGATGTCCCATCCCCATGGCTCAAATTGCATGCGTTAGGAGTACGGCCAGGAGCCCTTAGTAGCGTCCTTGCTCCTAGTAGCGATGCCAGGAGCCCCTAGTAGCGTCCTTGCTCCTAGTAGCGATTTCAAGAGCCCCTAGTAGCGTCCTTGCTCCTAGTAGCGATGCCAGAAGCCCCTAGTAGCTTCCTTGTTCCTAGTAGTAAGGCCAGGAGCCCCTGGTAGCGTCCTTGCTCCTAGTAGCAATGCCAGGAGCCCCTAGTAGCGTCCTTGTTCCTAGTAGTAAGGCCAGGAGCCCCTAGTAGCGTCCTTGCTCCTAGTAGCGATTTCAGGAGCCCCTAGTAGCGTCCTTGCTCCTAGTAGCGATGCCAGAAGCCCCTAGTAGCATCCTTGTTCCTCGTGGTAAGGCCAGGAGCCCCTAGTAGCGTCCTTGCTCCTAGTAGCGATGCCAGGAGCCCCTAGTAGCGTTATTGTTCCTAGTAGTAAGGCCAGGAGCCCCTAGTAGCGTCCTTGGTTGTAGTAGTGATGCCAGGAGCCCCTAGTAGTTTCTTGTTCCTGGAGCGCCTAGCAGCATCCTTGCTCCTAGTAACGATGCCAGGAGCCCCTAATAGGTTCTTGTTCCTAGTAGAGAGGCCCAGGAGCGCCTAGCAGCGTCCTTGCCCGTAGTAGCGATGCCAGGAGCCCCTAGTAGTTTCTTAATGTTCCTAGTAGTCAGGCCAGGAGCCCCCATTAGCGTCCTTGCTCCTATAGTAGCGATGCCGGGAGCCCCTAGTAGCTTCTTGTTCCTCGTATAGTATGGCTCAGCGTTCTTGCTCCTAGTAGTGATGCCAGGAGCCCCTAGTAGCTTCTTGTTCCTAGTAGTAAGGCAGGAGCCCTTCTTGTTCCTAGTAGTAAGGACAGGAGCCCCTAGTAGCGTCCTTGCTCCTTGTAGCGATGCCAGGAGCCCCTGTAGTTTTTTGTTCCTAGTAGTAGGGCCAGGAGCCCCTAGTAGCTCCTTGCTCCTAGTAGTGAGGCCAGGAGCCCCTAGTAGGTCCTTGCTCCTAGTAGCGATGGCAGGAGCCTCTAGAAGCTTCTTGCTCCTAGTGGTAAGGCCAGGAGCCCCAAGCGGCGTCCTTCCTGAACCCCTAGCCTGGTTGCTTTCTAGCGGTAAGGCCTAGCATCCTTGCTCCTAGCAGCGCAGAAACCTTTAGTAGCTTCTTGTTCCTGGTAGTAAGGCTAGGAGCCCCTAGTAGCGTCCTTGCCTAGTGGCGTCCTTCCTGAACTCCTAGTTGCTTTCTAGTAGTAAGGCCAAAAGCCCCTAGCAGCGTCCTTGCTCCTAGTAGCGATGCCAGGTTCGACTTGAGCATTATGGCGTCCAAGAAGGCTCGAAGGGCTGTGTCACATTCTTCGTTCTTATCAATGTCATACCTGGCGACCTTTGCCGTCTTTCCCGCTGTCAGGTATCCTGCGCCAATGTGGTACTATGGGGCGCCGTTTGATGTCCTCGGACCACCTCAGGCAGAGCTGCGCGTGATCTACCACTTCCATTGGGAAAAATGCTGCGTACGCGCTCTCGACAAAGCGATTCGCTACCGCCACTAGATTGGGCGGATAACGGGCGCCAGCCGGCGACTGCCTGAGGCGCAGTGCCAATTGTCCGATGGTAAACGCAGACGTCACTGAATCGGAAAGGGATGACCCTCCGAACAGTGCGAGATGGACGAACTCCGGCAGCTGCCTGAAGGCCCACCTGAGGCATCCTCTGGTAGTGCAGAAATGTCCTACCGTCCATACCGCGCTCTCGAGCTCTTGGCCCGTGTCGGAATTCATACTGAATACGGCGTCCACGTATTTGCAACTTTAAGAAAGCCCCTAATTTGGTTTGCGGCCGGCAAAATTCCCCATAGGTTTGTGGCTCAGCTTCTTTCAGAGCACCGCGCTTCAAGCCCCACTTTTTTCGCATGGCTTGACACCACTTCCGGGCCATCCGGCCTAATGTGGGCTCCCGCCCAGAATGAGGCGCATCCACACCAAAGCGCGCTTCCAAGCCAAAGCGCCGCAACTCGTCGCAAATAGCGGTCGACCACTTTGCAACCAGTCGGCGCTTGCCCCTGCTGGAAATTTTGGACCGCGATCCATAGGGCAGTCCGCCTCTCTGCTACAAACTTGGCAGCTTCGTTTTGAATGGATTGGTCTTGAGAAGTTTCCGGCACAAGCACATTCACTATAGGGCGTCCAGATCAGCGTCCCAGAACCACTACTGGCAATGGGAGTGGTCATGATGATGGTGATGGCAATGGCTATTGGCTTTGTCACGCGAATCAGAATGGTAATGGTGGTGGTGGTGGCGGCCATGGAGTGGTCGTGATGATTTTGGTGGTAATGGTTTTGGTAATGGTGACGCTAATGGTTACCCTGGTGCTGGTGGTGCTGGTGCTGGTGCTGCTGCTGCTGCTGGTGGTGGTGGTGGTGGGTGTCAATGAGTGGGCGTGATAATGGTGATGGGAATGGTTCTGGTAATGGTTACATGAGAATAGCAATGGTGGTGGTAGTCCTTACTCCTCCTAGTAGCGTCCTTGCTCCTAGTAGCGATGCCAGGAGCAACTCCTTGCTTCTTGTTCCTAGTAGTAAGGCCAGGAGCCCCTAGTAGCGTCCTTGCTCCTCTTTCTCCTAGTAGCGATACCAGGAGCCCCTAGTAGCTTCTTGTTCCTAGTAGCAAGGTCACAAGCCCCTAGTAGCGTCCTTGCTCCTAGTAGCGATGCCAGAAGCTCCTAGTTGCTTCTTGTTCCTAGTAGTAAGCAGGAGCCCCTTAGAAGCGATGCCAGGACCATAGTAGCTTCTTGTTCCTAGTAGCGAGGCCACAAGCCGCTAGTAGCGTCCTTGCTCCTAGTAGCGATGCCAGAAGGCGTCCTTGCTCCTAGTAGCGATGCCAGGAGCCCCTAGTTGCTTCTCGTTCCTAGTAGTATGGCCAGGGGCCCCTAGTAGCGTCCTTGCTCCTCGTAGCGATGCCAGGACTTGCCTTGGCTTAGATGAATTTTGGGTGTTTTTTTAAAGAAGCCTGGCTTGATCATTTTTCCACGGGCTTATACGCAATCGCTTTTTAGTGGACTGAGATATTTATCACCATCGTTTTTGCCTGCGTCGTGTCTTGAATATCTTGAATGACTGAAATGTAGAAGTCTTATCCTCCAAACGGCTGTTCCGGCTTCGTTTCCGAAGGTTGTTTTGGCCTCAGGTTGTATTATAGGCTATTTCGGCTTCAAGTCATGCTGCTGGGATCGGCAGCAGCGAAAAGGGAGCGTCCACGTTTGCAGTGGCAGAGGCGTTTGTGCAGGGTCATGGCTACAAGCGTGCAAGTTGCCATGGGGTGTAGGTTGCAAAGCATGCCTTTTTTTCGCGGTTGCAACTCGAGCTTCGCGTCTTATGGGGTTCAAACGCAAGCAGCACTGCAAGTCGTGAACTTTGGAAAGGCATGCCAACAATAAGCACCACAAAGCTGCAGTGGACAAGTATTTGCTGACGACCGTCCGATGGGTTTTTGTGAGATCGGTATCCAGAACTGGTCGGAATCGAAACTGGGCTGCCACAGATCTTGCTTGGGCAGTGTCTTCCATTGATATGGTCAAGCAAGAGTTTTGGGTGGCAGCCGGGTGATTAGTAAGCTTTCTTGAGGAGGTTCCTGGCCAGTTTGGAGACTTCACCTGCAGTCCGAGTTGCGGGAGCAATGGTTTGACGACGTGTGCAACAAAATTGCAAATGCGCAATACAATTTGATTCTCGGTGAGTTGGAATTCTAGGGCTGCTTCGGCTTCGCAACCTACTTCGGCCAGGACAGCAAACTTGACTCGGCTTCTCTGCTGGAGACCTTCGTGGCGCGGAGGGGAAAAAGGATCATGACAAGCGCACGCATATTTTCACCAGGCTTACGGGAATTTTTGTGTGTAAGAACGGGGCGGATTGCCCCGTCCTTAGGAGACTTGGGGTCGTCCCCGGACTGTGTAAGGAGAGGACGGTTTGTCCTGACCTTACACAGAGATTTTCCCACTCACTCCTTCGTCGACTTTGCTACCACAGCATGCCGGAAGCCTTTTTGAAGTGATTTTGCATGGCTACTTCATAAAGAGTGTTGTGGACATGTCGCCAGCCGACGGCAAGCTAGCCTTTGTTTGCCTCAGGCAACGAATCGGCTAGTGCGGTGTAACCTACAGCGAGGCACGCTCCAAAGCCCTTGAGAACAGACTTTTGCAGCGCAGCCCACTTTTCTCTTCTGCCTACTCAGCTGCGGCCAAAGGGCAAACCAGCGAAGGTGATACCCAGCCTACACACCCTACACTCAAGACAAAGCCAAAACCGAAGGGAAAATCGAAAGCAAAGGGCAAACCGAAGCCCAAGCCCAAGACTGCTCCCAAAGCCAAGCCAAAAGGCGGAAACATCCAAGAGAAGAAACTGCTGCAGAAGGGGAAGAAGCCCAAGAGGAGGCTGAGTCTGAGAAAGGTGAGCCGGAAAATGATGCGGATGACAATGTGGGATCCCCTAAAGGAATGAACAGGCAGCTTTGGGTGTTTAGCAGCTGCTTCGGCTGCCTAGCAGCTGCTTCGGCTGCCTAGCAGCTGCTTCGGCTGCAGTGCGTGAACCTGCTCCCTCTTTTGGCCGCTTTGGCTAAGTTTTGCTGAGGGTATATAGTGTGCTTGAAGGAGTCAATGCGGACTGGCAGAGAATAAAAGCGAGGGACGCGGCCTGGCTGCTTTTGCTATTTAAACTTATCTAAATGATGGTTTTGTATGGGTCATTTGGAGAACATGCTGATTTGGGGAACATGTTTCATCTAATGGACACACTGACACACTGCCCTGCGTGCCAAAGAACAACTAATAAGATATTCTATTTCATCGTGTTTTCTTCTATATTCTATTGTGATATTTGTTTCGACCACTGGCCGCGTAATATGTTGGCACTTTATTAAAAAAACAAAATCTAAAATTCTTCTAAGCTGGCCTAAGAGGAGCCCCTAGTTGCTTCTTGTTCCTAGTAGTATGGCCAGGAGCCCCTAGTAGCGTCCTTGCTCCTACTAATCACTGGCCCATATATTCACACCGCTTCGCGGTCGAAGCCGCCTGCACAGATCGCAACCTGTGCTCTCGGAGTGGGCACACGACCCCAAAAAACATCAAAAACCACATGCTCAATACCATTCACCTCATCCAGTCGGACTGGGCACACGACCGAACACATCCACGATAGTGTCCCGCGGCTTGCCTAGACGTTTGCAATTTCTGCGATGTCCATAATGCAGTCTCCCCCGGCCGGCATAACCGGCATCGCATATCCATAGTGCAGTGCCCCTTGGCTTGCCGAGACGTCTGCGATGTCAATAATGCGATCTATCCCGACCGGCATAGTAAAACGTCTGGTCCAATTTTGGTCAATTTTCAAAAAACATTGAAAAACACAGCATTTCTAGGAGAAAAGTGCGCCCCCCCCCCCAAGCTAAGGCTTAGGATTTATCTAGCCGGATTCCTTGCGATTTACACGAGCCTACACAACGCCCTCGGCACCTCCGGTGCGGGCGGATTTTGCTTCAACCTCCCAAACACCGCCCGATGCTGGACTCCACGTGCAAACATCGTGGAAAAAGCATCGGAGACGTCCGGGGCCACCACTCGAAATTCCGAATGAGTCCCACGCAAGTCGCTTGTTCCTGCGCAAACCCACTTCAGGGGCCTGTTCGTTGGCGAAAGGTTCTCTCGAGATCATGGCCTGTTCGTTTGGCGACAGAACCTGGGGGTTGATGCTCCAAACATGTTGAAAGATCTTGAAATGATAGATGATGCTTCCTGTTGAAGGACAAACATCACCCCAAGTTCATCCCCCCAAAAGGCACCTCGAAACGAGAAAACACAAAAAACATACACCAGCTGCAGCCTGGCCCTTGCCCACCATGCTTGGGCCCGTCTCACCTCAGGACGTCTCACCGTTTTTCAGCAGCCTCTGGATCGTTGAGTGTGCCCAGCTCCTTCTGCAGCTCATCCTCCGATGTGCGCTTTGGCGCGGTAGGCGCAGGGAAGAAGAAGCATCTGAAGGGTTCTAGGGAACGAGAAGATGGTCAGCTCCATGGAATCTTATGTTCAGTCTTCGCAAAATGGTCTTGCAGGGGCCATCCAGTGTTCGTCAGAGTGTATTCCCCTCCTTTTTGGGAGGCGAACCTTCTTTCCTCCTGCGGCTTGGGGAAGTGGAGGCCCAACATCAGCAGCTCTCCCGGGACCCGTCCTCCCATCCCCCGGACGCTCGGGCGGACTCCGACGGCTCCGGTCGGCCTCTTCGGAGGTCATCTGACGCTCCAAGGTCTCGGCCTCGTTGCACCTCGACAGGTGGGTGCGCTGTGTTCAGGTGGGTGCGCTGTGTTCAGGTGGGCAGGGGGGGTGTGACCGTGGGTGTTCCTTTTTGTGAATTTACAGGCCAACAGCCTACAAGTACCAACATGTAGAGCGCCCTTTTCTTGAGCCAAACATAGAGGTCAATATGGTATGTACAGGTGTACAATCGTGCAAATACACCCCCCGCTGAACGCACTTGGCAGCAAAGGTAGTGAAGAACTCTATACACGACTATGTACACGGGACAACGTGCATACCTTTCTGACCTCCGGTTCCCCGGTGTTTCCCTCGTGGTTAACACCGTACGCGCCTATAGCTTTCATAGATTCTTTGCCGACCTGAGGCGCAAGGGAACGACGATTTATTCGATTACGTTATAAAGTCAACTGCCGAACGGACGATCGAAGATTGGACGCAGCGCTTTTCACATGCATCCACAGCTCGTCAAATTGGAAATGGGCCTTTTACGTAGGCACACGTTTCCACGCGGCATGCTGAGAGATGCTTCCTTTTAGGAAGAGTGCACTTCGGCAAAACAAATTAAAGCCTTGCAAAGAATGCGGACAGCCTCAAAGGAGTTGAACGTGAGGCTACTGCTTCCGCAGAGCGTGCAAACCATAAGAATCCTTTAAGAGAAAATGTGTGAAAATCATAAGTTTTATGAAAAAAAATAGATTTTAAAAAATGATAAATTTTATTTTTCTGATAATAAAAATTTATTATTTTTGAAATAAAAATTTTATTTATTGATAATAAAATTATATTTTCCAAATAATAAAATAAAATATATTTCCAATAATAAAGCTTGTTTGGAATAGTAAACTATCTTGCGAGTGTAGACACGACCACCACCACCAACGCCACCACCACCAACAACAACATTGCCAGTGGGCAGAATCTCTCTCAAACTCTCACGCGCAACTCTCTCAAAACCCGCAATTAAGTCTCTCAAACCTAGCTTATGCGCAAGTCTTCGAACAGGCCTGGTGGTGAAATTTGGCACAGCAGGAGGTGGCGCAGCTGCTTCGGATTTCTTGAAATGTCTGCATTGAACGTTTGAGGGTTCTAAATGGAGAGTTTTTGGGATTGAGAGTATATGAGGGGCTGACTGGCTCCTGAAAAGGATGAGGATTCACCCTGTCAAACGAAGGTTCAGCCTCTTGAAACATTCAGACTTAACTCTCCAAACAAATTGAACAACGTCTTCCTATTGACAACCTTGCTAGTAGGGGTTCGTTGAAATTTCCATTTAAACCCCGAAAACTCAAAAACCAGAAACTCAAAAAACTCTAAGCTCCAGACCATATGACCATATATGGCTGCGGCATTAAGAAAACACTCGGAACTGTCAACTAACCTATATAACGTATATGCTTCGATCCTCACCACACCATGGACCGTCCCCTGAGCCCATTTTGGCACGCATAGAAACACACAGTTTTTTCCACCCACCATATATGCGTCAACCGATCTGGTCGATCATTGACCAGCGGCTGGATATTCTGATTCGATCGTGGTCATATGTCTAGGTGCCCTCCCGACGCTTTTGCTGGAAGGTCACCTGCAAACTCTATTTGGAAGGAAGACTCTGCTTCACGGCTGTCTGGCATCCAGATCTGCATCTTCTTCTGCATCTTCTGGCTGGCTGTCCAAATCGCACCGACAATCTTTCGATACTCGAAGTAGTTGAATGTAGTCTTCCCTGCGCAAGCAAGCTTGCATATTGACTGGGGTGTCCATTGTTAATCAACAAATCTCAATATATGGCCCACCTTTCCAAGTATTCCTCAAGCATCTCAGCCCAGCAGCTGACACAGATTCTCTCATCAGCAACCGCTTGCAAAAAGCGAACACATTGCGCGAACCTCGAAGTTTCAGTCATGATCACAATTATAAGGACGTTGGCTCTACGCGGCTCAGCTGATATTGAGCAAAATTTCACTCGGCTATTCGGAATGGGTCAATCAAATCCGTGAACTCTCCAAACAAATTCCCTCAAAACTCTCTCAAAGCAAAGCTCTCAAAACTCTCTCAAACTCTCTCAAAGCAAAAAAACCTTTCCAAACAATTCCAAACATCCTCAGTAACCAACAAATGCCAGCGCGGTTCAATTAAAGTCATGTTCCACGTTCCATCATGAATATGCCTGCCCTACGTGAGGTGAGCTCCATGTTTTCCAGCAACTGCTCAAAAAAGATTCGTTGCTTGGCCCTTAAGTGGGACAATCTGACGAATAGCATGCCTTTTTAAAAGGCATGGAGGCATCTGATGACATTTGGAAGTCGCCAGGAGCATTCCAGAGGTTGCATGCCAGTGGCAATTTGTCCAAGTCTCTTGCAAATCCAACCTTGGTCGTCCTAAATCACACCCTGCAATGCTCCAGGTGAATCCCTAGCCGATATTTGACCATGGTTTTCGTGGTCGCAGTCAGTGGCCGAGATGCCTGCACGCTTTGCTTTACGATAGTCTTGATCTTTCCCATGAGATCCTCTTGCAGCATACAAGAAGTGATTGCCGGATTGACCTCCGATGACCGCTGTGCTAAGTGGAACAGGTCGTGCCACTTTTTGGTCATATTGAAAAAGCCTTCCCAGGCGAGCTGCAGCTCTTTGTACAGCGGGATGAACTCTGACATGCATTTCGTCAGTCTTTGGGAGGCCTAGGGATCGAATCATGTTTCTACAGCCAAAAATGCTCCATAACTCTCTTACAAATTCAACTTTGAATTCCAAGGAAAAAACTCTAGAACCTCGTCCAAGACACGTCAGCTGGCAGCACCGATGCCATTGCATAATTGCGGATGATTCGATCGAAATCTACAGATCTTTGCATGACCATTTTTAGGAGTCGATCCTGGCGACTGCCGCTCATGCGGTCAACCCACAGATTCAACAAAGGCTCGGTCAAACCTCTGCATTGGTAAGCTCGTCCCTTGAGGACTGGGAAAGTTTTGTCTGTGCTCTGGAATTTCTGTGTTGTCAAAGTGGCCACAAATGTCGACAGCTCGGAGGGCACATACCTGGGCAGAACATTGAACAATATATCTATATACCGTTTTCATTGAACCATATTAAGACTCAAATACCATCAAACAAACTGCAAAATGGAATGTTGGATACTCTTGCAACGCAGGCAGTAACACGTCCAACTTGTTGTCGAACTTGTGCTCCAGGAGAACGGCCAAACACCCGCCGTTCAAATATGTGTCGACGCCACACCACTTGGTGTGCATCAAATCCGGGGACACATGTTGGCCAGTCAGCCCGGTGACTGTGAACAAATCCACAAATCTCCTCGATGTCTCAAACCTCTCTAACCATTCATCCTTGCTCATCAGCTTGGGTACCTGAGTGGGAGATATGTCAAAGATTTCTTCCTTTGGACTGGAGCAGAGTTTGCAAGGCAGATTGGCATTGTGGCCCGGAAGGCCCAACCACTGTGGATGCCAGGCTAGGTCGGCTTGGACTAACCAGATCGTGGCAAACCAGCCTCCTGCCAATGGCGTTCCAGCAAAAGGCGTCCTCACCGGATTGCCCTTCCAGTCCAAGAGTGGCCAGGTGCCTCCAAATATCTAGGATGTGGCCCAACGTCCACCACAATTGTGCCCCAAACACTTTGCTGAGAGTCTCAAACTATCAAAACTCTTAAAGCCCTCACACTGACAACAGAAGTCTCTGAAAAAGTTTCAAGTCCGCGCAGGCTCAAACACTAACTCTCCAAGCTCTCAAAACTTCCCTCTCAAACTCTCAAAACTCTTGAAAACTCTCACTGTAACTCTCCAAGCTCTCAAAACGTCCCTCTCAAACTCTCAAAGCCCTCACACTGACAAAAGGAGTTCCTCAAACTTTCAAAAATGTCAGCAGTCTCAACCCGGTCAATATTATATCTGTTCTGCCAATATTGCCTTGCCACAAGCTTTCCAGAGACCAGGCAAGCGCTTTCCAATACTCTTTGACGGTTTGCTGCTTTGCCACCATATGGCTCCATATCAAGCTGACAACGAAGTTCTCAAACTTGCTGTCAACAGCCTCCAGTTTCACAACTGTCACACAATTAGATTAGTTAGAAAGACAAAAACACTAAAAAGTTGCGTGTTTCACTGCAAGGCGCGTTTGTGCAAAGCAAGGACCGCCACGAAACAATTTCCACGGATCTGCTGTGGGCACTGCCCACGTTCACACATGGCACGCCATCACCGTGAAGGGACAACGGTATACCTTAACAACAACGCACAAACAATTGACAACGAGCGCAGCTACTAGCACTGACAATTGACAACAACGCGCTAAAAACCTCACATATACGCAAGGGAGCCACACTTGCTTCTGTCGCGCGGGTCAGTGCTCAAAGGGTGCGCGCGGAAAAGTTCTGTCGAACCCATTGTGTTCCAGAATGCAGCAGCCGCATCCGGATTTATGTAGCTGGCCCATGCGTCTCTATAACGCGTGTATAGTGCTGCGAACATCTCGTGAGGCCAAAGAATCGAAACATCAGATTGCTTGACCTTCTTCACGCCAAACTGGAGAGGGAGTTCTACTTGCCGCAGAGGGAATTGCGGCTCGCCGACCCACCTCTGCAGGTCCCGCCAGGTGTTCGCCGGATTGCTACCGGATGTACCTAGCCTCGCAAATTTCTGTATCGCGGGGTGGGCGTCTGGAACGTCTTTGGTAACCATATAGGCTATCTTCTGGCCTTGCGACGCACTTAAGTGTCCCCAAGCTATTTGTTCCAGTAACCATTGCGCCAAGTGGCTTGGCGCCTCCGCAGCAGCCTTCCGTTTACCCATGACTATAGGTAGAAGAGTTGTTGAACAAAAACCTTTTCGAGTACAGCCCCATGACTCAATGACCATGTGAAATTCAGATTGAGTGGTACTGTACTGTAGTTGTGGCAGCCTTTGGCCTCTGTGATTTTGCCAGACATGACCTCCTAGGAGGGTGATTTTCAAACGCTGATGTTCAAAACCCACAGGCTTGAACCAGTCTG